GTCCACCTGACTGCTCAAGGTTAGAGTGGAAGGGCCCGCTGCCAGGAGCAACTAAAACCTGTTGTGCTTACCTGCATTCTCCCGTTCCTGTAGTTGTATCTGAATGCACTTCGAACCTTTGAGAAAATGAACACTGATTCTTAGAGACCAGTGGGAATCCACTCCTTTCCATTAGAAAGGCACTATCCTGCTTAGGAAGGAAGTGGAGTGGGGGGAAAGTTAGCTGGAAGATGAATGTGGCTTGGTTGTTTTTCATCTGTTCATCGGAGTGACATTCAAGCTAATCATGTGTTTGTTTTATTTTTAATTAAACCTCACCTGGAATGTGTTTTAGTGGTAAGCATTTGGAGGTCTGTGCAGAGGAAGGAAACACTTAAATTTGCTTAAGAGAAAAATGTGCTTGCTTCATTCTTTATAAAATAGAGAACTTCAAACATATTCCTGAAGCCCTGGGCCTGTCTGATGAGAATGCTAACTAAGATCCATTCAATGTGAGCATGTGGTTTTCTTTTGCGTGAGCACAGATAAGGTATTGGGGATTATGGATAGGAAATATTTGTCCTAGAAAAACTGCTGCTATGCCTCAGAGCATAGCATAAGGTAGTTAGGTATTTTCCTTACTCCTGGGAACAGACCCCCTGGGGATGTTTTAACTCCTGGAAGCCTCACATTGGGCTGAGTTGGCAGAGGGTTGTAATATGTACAAATGAATTCAGTTGGTGTCCCCCGTGTGTGCCATCCATCCTCCTACTCTGCAAGTGCTGACCCCCCAGATTGTCCAAAGCACTGTCCGGAGGAAAGCAGATGTGGGCAGGATGGTTCCAAGGTGTGTGACCAATAGTTAGGGATCAGTGAACAGACAGCTCACCGGCTCTGGACTGTATGTGGCAGTGGGAGCCACGTAGGGCAGGCAGGGAGGGAAACAGCTGCAGAGGGCTTTGTGGGGCGTGGCCAGCTGCTTAGAGGAGTCCCGGGTGCTGTGGTTCCTGGGTCAGGCACAGTTTCAGAGCCACTGGTGCTGTGGCTGCAGACAAGCTGGTTGATCAGACCAGACTGGGGAGTTTTGTCCAACTCAAGTGAGGGAAGAGAGGGCCTTAGAAATTGTGATCCTTGGGTCAGCAAGTAGCATGGAGGTTAAACGCTGGACCCCACATGGCCAGACTTGCAGTTCCAGCCCCAGGCTCAGTGTCTTGAAAATTATGCTGGGCATATGTGCAGGCCTGCCTAAAATCCCAAGAGGAAAATGGATGGCGGCAGGGGTGTGGGGGGGATCATGGCGTGGTTGTTCCTCCCTCCCCAGATTGTGAGGTGATTTATCACGTTCTCTCTCTGATGAGCGAAAGCTTAAAAAGAGGGAAGGAGAAGCAGGAGAGGGAGAAAGAAAGAAGGAAGGGAAGGGAGAAGGGAAGGGAGAAAGAAAGGAAGGACAGGAAGAAAGTTAGCTGTTAGTTCCTGAGAGAACCCAAACCAAAACCACTTCAGGCATTCCACAGGGGGCGTCGACGATCTCTCTCAACGGTAGGATTTTCTGTAGTTTCTGTATGTTAAGGACGAGATTTCTTCGTAGATGGCTGTGTGTCTAATATAGACATTTCCTGTTAGCTTTTGTTCTGCCGGCTTGCTCCTTCGTTTTCTTACGATTCATTATTTTAAAATGATGTGCATTGTTTCATTGTTTCCTTTTAGGGAA